TTGAGCTGGGTGATGCTCCCCGAATAGGTTTTGGACACAGGAAAGTACACCTCTTGTAGTTTCAGAGTTATTTTCCTGGAAAAAGTTCAAAGTGCAATAATTCCAAAATCAGGAAAGGCAGAGTTACTGGTCTTTCCACTGTACTTCTAATCACTGTTATCTATCAACTTACAAAGTTTCTTGTACATAATTCCTTATGGTTTCCGAGTTTTGTTCCAGGCAACTTCAAAAAGTAAAAATAAACAAATGGCAATAACTCCAGAATTAGGCAAGGCAGAGATATGATTCTCGTGCACTGCACATCTACCCATTGAGATATATCTACCTACAAAGTTTCATGTTGATATCTCTTAAGGTTTACAGCTATGTCCAGTACAAGATTTTTCTAAAAGGGGAGATAATTCAAAAATGAGGCTTAACAGAGTTATTGTTTTTTGCATTGCACTTCTACTTGATGAGATCTATCTACCTACAATGACTCATCTTGATATCCCTTATAATTTTAGAGTTATGTTCCGGACAAAGTTCATTGTTAAAATTAACAAAGGGCAATAACTCCAAAATTATGCACTGCACATCTACCCATTGAGATCTATTCACCTACAAAGTTTCATAATTTTAGAGTTATGTTCCGGACAAAGTTCAGTGTTAAAATTAACAAAGGGCAATAACTCCAAAATTATGCACTGCACATCTACCCATTGAGATCTATTCACCTACAAAGTTTCATGTTGATATCTCTTATACTTAGAGTTATGCCCCGGACAAGATTTTTCAATAAGGGGAGATAATTAAAAAATGAGGCTTAACAGAGTTATGGTTCTTTTGCACTGCACATCTACTCAATGGGATCTATCTACCTACAATGTTTCATCTTGATATCTCTTATAGTTTAAGAGTTATGTTCCGGACAAAGTTCAAAGTGTTGAAATTAACAAAGCAATAACTCCAAAATTAGGACAAAAAGAGTTATTGTTTTTATGCACCGCACATCTACCCATTTAGACCTATTCACCTACAAAGTTTCATGTTGATATCTCTTATAGTTTTAGAGTTATGCCCCGGACAAGATTTTTCTATAAGGGGAGATAATTCAAAAACCGGACAGAATAGAGTTATGGTTCTTTAACACTGCACTCCCCCTCAATGCCCTCTACCACTGTATGAAGTTTAAACAAATTATCTCCAAGGGTTTTCAAGTTATGCTCCGGACAAGAAAACGGACGGACAGACGGACGGACGGACAGACGGACAAGGTGCCGACTATATGCTCCCCCGAAATTTTTCGGGGAGCATAAAAAATGCAGACTACCGGTTTTTGTGCACTGCACTTCTTCTTAATAAGATCTACCATCCTATGAAGTTTCATGTCCATAGCTTTTACACTTTAGGAGAAATTGCCCGGACAAAAATTAAGTAAGAAAATTAACAAAGGGCAATAACTCAAAAACAATGCAGGGTACCGGTTCTTGTGCACCGTATTTAAGGTCATCATAAGAAGCATGCATATCAAGTTTTAAGTCAATTCGACTTATAATGACTGACTTATGGTCCGGACAAGCTTTTCAAGGCGACACACAAAATGTTTAAATATGAAACAAACATATCTTGTTAAAAATGACATCATAAAAAAGTGACATCAATGCAATATGACACTATCTTTTGGCAACTTAACATTGGGCTATCAATAAGCTGAAGTATACAATCTGTAAACAGTCTAATATAACAAAATAGCTAAAATCTTACTTTACATTTCGTAATTCTTTGGTCATGGCAATTTTTCTGAATGGCATTTGTCAACTTTTATTTAGTTAGGTTTTACATCACATCAATACAGTATAGGTCATATGGTGACTTTCCAGCTTTACTGAAGATATATCGAAAAATAGAGTTTATTTATTCTCACGGTTCTTTATCTTTTTAACATCTTAATTCTGTTGTGTGAGAAAGCTGTCCAGCTAATGTTAGGGATATAGAAGGTTCTACTCAGGTTCTCCTTTTGTGCATTATTTCAGGCACAATCGGGCACCTGAGTAGAACCTTCTATATCCCTAACATTAGCTGGACAGCTTTCTCACACAACAGAATTAAGATGTTAAAAAGATAAAGAACCGTGAGAATAAATAAACTCTATTTTTCGATATATCTTCAGGGACATGTATGTAGATTATGTGCTAAAAATTAACACTTCACGTTATCTTTTTATTGACAGAGGTAAAATATATCATAATTATTACTTTGTCCAACCTTTAAACAAACACTAGGCCGAGTAGGATAGCCCTAATATTCTTTAGTTTTGTTTCTAACTAAAATATAAAAGATGAAAGACGATTCTGTCTGCCATTATTGTTCATGAAAATAGACATGTTTATTGAATTTTTGTGTGTGTAGAAATGTTGAATCTTGGTCCAGTCAAAGGCACATCATGCCTCAGAAAACGAATACATTTTTACTTCTTTGAAAGTCACGCATTGTTATTTTTTTCTAAGATTAAATAATGGGATCAGAGCATTCTAAAAGCTTATTACTTGATGAAGTAGCACTAAATGTTAATTGTCAGAAGTATTTCGACTTCCATACAAAATTCAAATTCACCATAATTATACCAATTGCCGAACCAGCAAAAAGTTCATCTATATGGCGAATAAGTATTTTTTGAAACATGCACATCTTACCAAAAAAAAAGTGTTTAACAAATAAAAGTAACAGCATATTTGAGGCATAATGGGCCTTTTAACTGAAGTCGGTAATTATCGGCCAGTGTCTATTTTTAGTGTTTTTTTTTAAAAATGTTTGAAAGGGCCATCTATGATCAAATTGAAGGTTATTTGAGTAAGAACAAGATTTTATACAGTTTTCAGTCCGGTTTTAGACGCGGTTTTTCTACAGACACGTGTCTTATCCGTGGTCGAGGGGTTAGAGTCGATGACTTCTTATCCAGTTACCTCTCTGGCGTGGGTTCGATCCCCGGGAGATGCTTTGGTAGTTTAGCGCAGAGGAAGGTAGTCTAGTACTGGTGTAACTCTCCAGGAACGATGGTTAGGAAACTACCCGCCTATATGACTGAAATACTGTTGAAAAAGGCGTAAAATGAAACAAACAAACAAACAAAACAGTGTCTTATCCATTTATCTGATTTTGTAAAATTTCAAATGGATAAAGGTGGGAACATGGTGGGAATGGTTCTCCTTGATTTGCAGAAAGCGTTCGACACGGTCAATCATAGTATTTTATTAACTGAAACTGAACGCAATTGGCCACTGTTCTGATGCTGTCCAATTGTTTCAATCTTATCTTTCAGAAAGACAGCAATTTGTTCAGGTATCTGGTGTTTATTCCAGCCAGGCTCCCGTCACTTGTGGGGTTCCCCAAGGATCATAATTGGGTCCCCTTTTATTTCTAATTTATGTTAATGATTTGTCGGCTGTCGTCAGAAACAACCTATTATTGTATGCCGACGACTCTGGGATTCTTGTGTGTGGTAAAAGTACTTCCGACATTGAATCTCTTTTATCACTTGAGATGGTGTATGTAAGTGAATGGCTTGTCGATAACAAGCTTTCACTTCATTTTCGCAAAACAGAATCTATTCTGTTTGGTTCAAAACCAAGGTTAAGGTCAAAAGGCAACTTAAATATTTCATGTATTGGTACAAATATCCAGGCTACCAGCTCAGTTAAATATCTCGGTGCAACTTTGGACCAGAACATTTCCTGTGAAGACATTGCACGGTCAGTGGTTACGAAATGAAATGCCCGTCTGAAATACTTGTATAGAAAAAGTCAATTCTTGGATCTCCACACTAGGAAACTCTTGGTCATGTCTTTGCCATTTTTATTATGTTTGTTCTTTTTGGTACCCAAGTTTGACTCAGTATTGGAAGAAAACGCTCCAAACAACCCAGAATAAATTGGTTCGTTTTATTTTGAATAAGGACAGCAGGTCACATGTTGAACCACAGCAATTTAAGGTTGTTAACTGGTTACCGGTCTCCAAAAGAGTTGATCAGGTAACTCTCTGCCATGTCCATAAAATAAAGTCTGACACAGCCCCCAAATACCTTAAGTACCCCTTAATCAGGTTCATGACCGCTGTACCAGGTCAAGAGTGTCTGCACTTTCATCATCAGATTCCTGTGTAAGCTATTCTTTTAGTGACACAGGACGATTTTCTTTACCAAAGGTAGAAAACTTTGGTAGAACATCTTTTGCTTTTGATGGTATTGCACTATGGAACGGCCTTCCTTAAAATCTTAGAAATATTCAATCTTTCCACACCTTCAAGCATGCCATCAAAGCTTATTTGATGGCCAGTTAATTTTAGTTTATTTTTCAATAGTATTTGAATCTTTTCATAGTCTTAATAGAGTCTCAGATTTTACATATTCTTAAGTTTAAGCACAACACACATATGTTGTGATTGTCCTTAAGTAATTAACCATTTTTTAGCTTGCACATTTAACGTTTTATAATATTTTTATTGAATGTTTACAGTTTGACTGACAATTGCCATATTTCATAATTCATGGATGTGATACAAACTTGGACTGATTTTATTGTGATACAAACTTGGACTGTGATATATTGTGATCTCAACTAAATTATTACAATTAATGCCTTATTGACTAATTCAAAAATTTATTTCAATTTCATACAAATTAACAGGACTTTCTGTGTCATGCCTCCAATGTCAGTGACCACAATGGAAATAAGAGGAATCCTTTCCTCTTTTTTTGTGTTATCCCTGGTATTGGTGGGCACTACATGGCTCATATATTTATATTTTGTCATTAGGGCTGTGCATTGCCATTTTTTCCGTCACGATACATATCACGATACTTGTTTTTCCAAACGATGCGATTCACGATATGTATTGCAGACTTTGAAGAAATGCGATGCATATTGCGATTCTTATGTTGCGATACGATACGTATCACGATACAGACTTTCAGACTTTATCTATAAAAACTTTGTCATTTGTTTACAGCATAATTACAAAAATAGTATAAAAACTATTGCATGAAACAAAACAATAAACTCTTTAACTTGTTATTTTAAGTTTATAACTTGGTCCTTCTACATGATTACTTTAGAACTCAAATTATTTTTAATTTCAACACTTTAAGTTCTCTATTGTCTCTTTTGTAAATATTTAATTCAGCTTATCAAATATAAATTTCAGTCATATAGATGATACACCACTTAAGAATTTAAGATTTGTCCTGTGAAAAGAAAACACAATATAATAACAAGTTTTAAACAATTAGGTTAAGAAGTAACTGTGACCATAACAGTTTAACAGTTTCACTCTTTAAACACACTACTGAAGATTTTTCTTCAAAAAAAGAAGGCGATCCACATGTTTTGACTTTAAACAAGCTCTCTGCCCACTAACAATATCCCCAGCAGTTGAGAAAACTCTTTCAGATGGGACAGTATTCCCTGGCACTGCCAAATATTTTTTTGCCAGAGAAGCAAGTAATGGTAAGGAAACTTCATTTTCTTTCCACCACTGTAAGGGACTGTTATTAAGTCTTATAGAAGCTTTTTTCCTATACACTGTCACCTCATCTGAAGCACGTTCCAAACTTGACCTTGGTGCAGTTTCACTGACAACATAAAGTTCATCATCAAATAAATCAGCTAAAGACTGCTTCTTTTTCTTTGGAGAAGAAGGTTTAGTATCTGGCTCAGCTTTCGTTTGGGTGGATGATGTGGAAGCTTGATCTGTAGAAGTTTGGTCTGTTAAACTCTCTGGTGCAATTGGCAATTGTGGAGAGTTACTGGGTTCATCTGGCTCCTCTTTTATTTCCACCTTCAATATGTAATATATATTATTATATTTTATTGATCAATGCTAGTCTCATACAAGCAGTAAACTTTGAATTTCAAATTTCCATGTATAACATTGAATTATGTGTTCCATTTAAAACATACTGTTACTTTGACTGTATATTATTTTATCTTGTAGAAAATTTTTTTCATTTATAATTTTCATTATCCAAAAGATATTCTTATTACAGAATTTTAGATACATACACATCTTTTTTCTAATGAAGCTTCTTTCTCCAAGATACCATATATTCTATGTCTATCTGCCTCATCCAAGAATGGTAAAAGTTTGAATCTAGGATCTAATGCAGCTGCTTTTATAAGGAAGTCTGTATCTTGGACATCTGGAGTATACCTGTATTAAAAAAGAATGATTTATAAATTATACATATTGATTTATTGACAATAATAAATCTTAATTAAACACTTATGATTCATATCATCTTTTAAATGGAACTAATTGTATAATAATGAGCTAAAAATTATATACAAAGTACTGTGTGAAGAATAATGTTGTAATACCAATCATTATGTTAACTGTGAAATTACATTGAACACTGTTTTACATTAAGACTTAAAATCATTCTTCTTAAAGAAATTGGTTTAAATTACATGTACATGTACCTCAGAGATAAATTTTTAAAAATGGCCTGTTTGAGATCTACCACAGCCTTGCTGTCATCATCATTTGGCTGAAAGTTTCTCTTCAGTTGGTGAAGTAAAGGAAGCACAACAGACACTGTCGGAACACTCTCTTCACACATGGTTACTGTTGCGAGTTTCATAGGTTCCATGATCTAAATGGTAGTAATAAATTAGGTATATCAATATACATAAATCAATAATCAAAAGAATGAAATATCTGATAAAAATGTATCCTAATAAAATTAAAACTGGTTATCAATTCATTGTATGTTTTTAATTAGAAATTTCTTTTGAAGAAACTTTATAAATTGATTAAAAACATTTAGATATTCAGTAAAATCTTAGATATTATATTTTACAAAATGTCTAAGATTTATATTATAATATATGCTTACCTTTATGAAATCCTCAGCAAGGACAAAATCACTGTCAGATAAAGCTGGGAATTCAGCTACTTTCTTTCTTATTTCTTTACATAGGAAAGTTGCCTGTACTGCGCTTTGATGCTCTAAGTAGCGCTCTATCATGTCATATGAACTGTTCCATCTAGTCTGAACATCAATCTTTAGCTTATGACATGGCAATGTAAGAAGAACTTGCTTTTCTTTAAGGATAGCTGTAGCAGTAGAGCTCTTATGAAAGAAAGTTACAACTTTTCTAACTTTCCCTAGAAGTTTTGAAATCGATGGTACAGTTAAAGCTTTCTGAGACGCTAAATTCAGAGAATGGGCAAAGCAACGAATATTTGGTATGCCAGTCATTCTCACAGCTAATGTCATGTTGGCAGCATTGTCTGTCACTATACCTTGCACATTATCGACTAACCCCCATTCTTCAATAGCATCTTTTAAATTTTCACACAAGTTTTGAGCAGTGTGACTTTCACTCAATGTCCTTGTCTGAAGAATACGTGACTCAATTATCCAATCCTGGCTAATAAAATGGCAAGTAATAGTTTCATAGGATTCTGTGCTCCTAGATGTCCAACCATCACTTGTCAAACCAACTCCATGTGCAATTCCTAGTTCAGCCACAACCCTTTTTTTAACACTTTCATACATTTCAGGAATAAGTCTATCAGAAAAAAATTGGCGTGAAGGCAATTTGTATCTTGGTTCAAGAACTGCAAGCAAATGTTTGAAACCAGTATTCTCAACAACTTTAAATGGTCTAAGGTCTTTCACAATAAATTCACAGACAGCCCTTGTTATTTCATCTTTCTCTTTAGCATTCAGTTCTGTAGAAGTTCGGCGTGTTGAAGAACTTACCATAGACAAAAGAGTTGGCTGTGTCTTTACATGTTTAGTTTCGTCAGTTTTTTTGTCTCTTTCTATCATGACACTGTGTTTTCTCGAAAGATGCGTGCTCAAGTTGGTTGTATTTCCCGAGTACTTTATTTTCATTTTGCATATTTTACACACACTCCAGGATCGGTCTTCTAATACAGTACCGTCTTTAGTTCTTCCAAGGAAGCCACAATGCTCCCATACACGTGCTTTAAATGAGGATGGCGGATTTACAATGGTTTCCCCTTCTTCTAAATATTTAGCAGTCGACATTTTTATTTTCTACGGGAAAATGATGTCAGCGGAAATATAAGTATAAATAAGTGACGAATAGCAGATGGGCATATTGTTATCGTCACTATTTTAATCCGATTTCAAGTGCGACTTAATTTACAAATTCATATTTATTAGATGTTTTTTCTTGGACACGTGTACTCGTGTAGATCTCTTATATATTATTAAAAGAAGAAATAAAGTTAAAAGAACATCAGCCCATTTATATGAATTAATCAAACTTGGTTATATTACTGCGGACATGGTTTACCCTAAACCGGAAACGAGATGACAACGATATGATAACAGTCGTGCTCGTTTGTTATTTTTCATCCTTCTGTCTTTCAAAAATTACGTTTGTCATTATTTTCCTGGAAGACACTGTTAGTGTATTCCAGTATTGCGATACTTGTCCACCATATCGATGCATCGGGAGGTGAAATATGTATTGCATCGCGATGTATTGGTATTTAATTATTTTTTCCGATGCATGCATCGAGGACAGGACAGATCACAATGCATCGATGCATCGATGAATCGTTACACCTCTATTTGTCATAATTATACTTATGTCATGTCATATTTCTTGTCTCCTTAATAATTTAATTATTGTTATATGTATTGTATCATTATGCATCATTATGTCATTGCCATGTCATGTACACTTTTCCCGAATAAAACTACTACTACTACAACAACAACAACTACTACTACTACTAAGTTAACATCTTTTAAAACTTGTAAAGAAATCAACTTACGTCAAAATTTGTACCATAGGTATTCTGTAAATTTACATAAAACATTCAATACGTTTTTACTACAGACGTCTGTAAAAAATTATGGAAATTTGGTAGCTTAACACTTGTGTATTCAATAATAATACAAGTACATGTGTAATTTTCTGCTTGGTGTCGTAACAAGCTCCTAGTTATACTGACCATCGTAAATTCCACTTCCACTTGTTAATTTAACATATCGGTCATTAAAACTTGGTTTCTACTGCACAAAACTCTTTTTTTCTCTGCTGAGCCAAATTCAGTTTATAATTGAATCTTTGATGCTTCATAAGTTCACTATGAGTTCCCATCTCCTTGACAACGCAATGAGTATGGCGCATATTTTGTCCACGTTCTGGATGGTAGAAAGCCCATAATTCAGTTTATAATTGAATCTTTGTTGCTTCATAAGTTCATTATGAGTTCCCATCTCCTTGACAACGCAATGAGTATGGTGCATATTTTGTCTATGGGCAATAACGATACTGGCTTTACCCTCTCTGGCCTTCTCTTATGTCTCTTGTATAATCTGTGAATATTAAGACAATAACATCATGATTACGGATTTTGAACCTTAAAGGCCCATTATGTGTCAGAAATACTACTAAATTTATTTCTCAAAAACTTTTTGGTATTTCTTAATAGATAAGAAAACTATATTCATTTGCCAAAATTTGTCATATAGGAGAACTATCTTTTCTTCTTTTGTCCTGTTAGCAAATTGGTATATTCATATTGAATAAGTATTTAAATACTACTGTGTTAACATTTGTTACCTTTACACCACATGAATCCATGTTAAGCGCTTCTTTCATCGGTTGTTAAACATGTTACATGCTCTAAATTGATTATTACATGTATTAAAACATTATTCAACACATGTGTGACATTTTAAAAATTAAAATAATATGCATTTCTGAGACATAATGTTCCTTTAATGAACTGGTTTGTATGATGATCTACTGATAAATGATCATCAACAGTCACGAACAGTGTGAATAAACCCGTTGAAATCTGTTCTTGCCCTCTTTGGACAGTTTCTTAACCTCTTTTATGTCATTAATGTTTCTGGTGAAAAGAAGTTTTCCACTTCGATACCATAAATTAAAAACAAAAAATTGGAATACATTTTAACACTTTTCATTTAAATTGCAAATTTTTAATAAGTCAAGGTCAATAACCCAAAAAATACTATCAAAATCCACACGAAAATACCCTGATGCACAACTACACATGTTGAGCAACATTCATGACTCTAGGTAAAATTCTTTTTTAGTTACGTGCGACACAAGTTGAAAATTGAAAATTTGTTTGCTTATTCAAGGACAATAACTCTAAAAATATTAAATATTCACACAAAAATAGCCAGGTGCACAACTACACATGTTGATCAACATTCCTGTAAGGTTTCATGACTCTAGGTCAAATAATTTTTGAGTAACGTGCGACACTAGTTGAAAATTGCAAATTTTTACTAAGAAAAAGGCAATAACTCTAAAAGTACTTAATATATTAATATATTCACATGAAAATACTCAGGTGCATCACTGCACACGCTGATCAACATTCCTTTAAGGTTTCATGACTCTAGGTCAATTACTTTTTTAGTTTCGTGTGACACAAAAAGAGAACTGACAGACGGACGGAAGGACAAGGGTAAATCTAAATGCCCCCAACCCTATAGTGGGGGCACACAAATAAACAATTCTTCTTGTAGAAGAAAATGATACACCATCCGACCTTATTTCCGTTACTTACTGCGAATTTATATTAGATCTGGCCTTGTGAAATGTAAGCGGCAGTTGTGTATTTCACGCGATGAAAATAATTGCATTTAGTTCAGAGGCATATTATTTGCATTGGTCAGTCATATATCTTTTTAGCAGAAAGAAAACTTATTTGAGGATTGTTACAGACAATAAATAAGTGTTGACAGATGTGTAAATTTTCGAAAAGCAGCTAGGAAATTGGAAAACTAGGAATTGTTGAAAGGCTGCCATACCAACGCTGGTTTAACTTATTATTCGGGCTGATGGCTGCCATTGCGTTTCAAGTTTTCATATTTCATTAGGCAGTTATTGCTCATAGGATACTTAAAAATAAACCTTCAAAATAGAAAGTATGTCCTTGACCTTTGAAGAAAGGATGTGGTTCCTGGATGCGACAAAATGTTGCAATGAGATTTGTGCCAAACTATTTCAAAATAACTCAATACATGACAAAGTTACAGTCTGTATGCTTGTTGTGTAAGTTAGGACACACGGACGGACAGACAGACATGAGCCTTAGCCGAGACACATTGTCTTGATGTGGAAGACATTTGTGCCAAGTTATTTTAAAATCCTTCCTTGCATAACAAAGTAACAGTCCGGACATGAATGTGTGTCTTCAAACTCTTCTTGAAAGAATAAGTGTGACCTTGACCTTGAATGTAGGGACATGGGTCTTTGTCGCGATATGTCGTCTTAATTTGGTTGACATTTATCACTAGTTATTTTAAAATCCTTCGATGCATGACAAAGTTAGAGCCCGGACACGAATGTGTTTAACTATAAACTCTAATCGTGATAACATTAACTTAAAAATGGTAGTGTGACCTTTACTTTTGTGGTAGGGACGTGATTATTAGATGCGACACATCGTCTTGATGTTATTGACATTTATGCCAAGTTATCCTAAAACCCTTCATGCATGACAAAGATACAGCCCGGACACGATTGTGTGTACCTATTTATTCTAATTGTGATAATGTGAAACTTCAAAATGTTAGTGTGACCTTGACCTTTGAGGTAGAGACATAATTCTTGGACGCCACACAGTGTCTTGATGTGGTAAGACATTTATGCGTAGTTATTTTAAAATCATTTGATGCATGACAAAGTTACAGTCCGGTCACGGATGTGTGTACCTATTTACTCTTATTACAATTATGTGAAACTTAAACATGATAGTGTGATCTTGGCCTTTGAGATATGGACGTGGTTCTTAAACGAGACAGATGGTCTTGATGTGGTGGACATTTGTGCCAATTTATTTAAAAATCCCTCAATGTATGACAAAGTTACAGTCCTGACACAAATGAAGTGGGCAAGACAGAAAGACAGACGGATGGACGGTGCAATTATATTATGCCTCCCTAAGGGGGGAATAAAATTTACAGACGATATTTTGTGATTAAAAATTTGAATGAATTCTTATTACTTTTGAAATTCAAGTTATTATCTATATCAGAATTGTCAGCAAAAATGAAGCGAAAAACTTAAAAAGTAGTTTCGTCATTGAAAAGTGTGAAATTATATTTTGATTCACTGTGAAATAATCAAATATAATTTTCACTGATAAATCAGTAATCCACTGAAAAGCATAAAATAAAATGTGTAAATTGCTTTCCTACGTTTCATTTACAGTATATTACTTTTAAATACATTTTCAAAATGTTCATGAAAATCAGCATGAATCTGAAGGCATGCTGCTTCAACCTATATTTCCAAATGCTTTACTCTTTCTTGAGAGCACAATGGGGCTAAATCGACACTTATCCTTACCTTTTCACTCTCAGTATCCAGAGCAGATGTGGTCTCATCTTAGAGAAGTAATTTTGGATTCCTGATCAAGGGTCGAGCAATGACCGCCCATTGTTTCTGCCCTCCACTGAGCTGTGCTCCCTTCTCACCAACACTGGTGTCATATCCCTAAACAATACAACAAAAAAATGCAAAATTCTACATTTAACATGTTACTTGTTCAAAATAAATTATTTCAGTAACACAAAATCTCAACTCACTGTAAGAACACTAAGTAATTCCAATCGTGTGAGTCCTAGTAAAATACATAATACCCAACATCAAGTTCAGGGTGATAATGACAACACAGATGTCCAGGCTGGCCTGATCCAACTACAGAGATGCCCAGACGGGCCTGATCCAACTGCACACATATCTAGGCTAGCTTGATCAAACTGCAGAGATATTCAAGCCAGCATGATACAACTGCACAGATGCCAAGACCTGCCTGATCAAACTACACAGGCAAGCCTTATCCAACTGCACAGGTCGACCTGATCCAACTGCAAAGATGCCCAGGCTAACCTGCTCTACATGCAAAGATTCAAGGCATGCCTGCTTCAACTGCACAGTTGTCCAGGCCAGCCAATTCTCACTGCAAAGATTCAAAGCCTGCTACAACTGGATAGGCATCAACACCAGCCTGCTCAGACAGCACAGATGGATGTCCAGGCCAGCCTTCTCCAACTGCATAAATGTTCAGGCCAGCTTGCTCCAACTGCACAGATGTTCAGGTCAGCCTGCTACAACTGCATAAATGTTCAGGCCAGCCTACTCCAATTGCATAGATGTTCAGACCAGCCTGCTCCAACTGCACAAACGTCCAGGCCAGCCAACTATAACTGCGCTGATGTACACAAAAAGAAAGAAAATAAATACCTCGGGTAACGAAGATATAAAATCATGAATATTTACATTTTTTGCCGCTTGTATAACTGTCTGCATCTCTACTTTTCTCTACAATATTTTTGCCAATGCTTCGGTCAAACTGAACGGGTTCCTGTGAGACGATTCCAATCTGCGATCTTTACCACTGAAGAATCAGATCCTTGATATTGTATTTGTCTAAGTACTGAATATATAAATTTCTTCGTATCAGTTTACAGTTCAGTGTCTTAACAGTCATTTTTGGGACTTACTTTGGATCCATTCATCTTGTAAAAACATATGTATATTTCCCAACCCTTTTGAAATATTTAACTTATG